CATAGGTATTTGTGTCGGAAAAAGTGGAGTTTGGGGGTCAGCCGGTCTCTATTTCATTTAATCCCATATGTTATGTTGTTCACTTTACACGTTTCTCGCTTTACGCGGGCCTCCGTGGGTTCAATTGACCACGTAAAGTGAGGGTTCACTGTATATACATACACACACAGTGATCCCTCGGTTAAGGAGATTTCGGTTAACGAGTTACCTCCCATTAGATTCTAAGCTTCGGTTAACGAGCAATCCCTCGGTTAACGAGTTTCTTACGAGCTGACCTCAACATGTTTTCGCTTGCACTTGGCAGTCAACCAGCTGTAGCATTAGTCCGCCAATACAGTAATCGGTTCTAGGGCTTAAATTCCTTACTATATTAGTAAATATCAAGAAGTTTATACTATTCAATAATTGTAAAAGTTTACTATTAAATTTTTTAGTCATTTTAACAATTATTGAACATAATTGAAGGTACAGTCACTAGTTTTATGCGCGCCATCCAGCCTTTTAACACACCAAACAAGCGTTAGTCTCTCTGTTTTCAGTGGAGGTAACATCTTGCTTGAGACTCGACTAAATGTTTTTTTTCTGTGTTTCCAAGCAAATTATTGGTCATTTTTAAATTTATTTTACATATTGACAATATATAGCGCAGTGCATTGTTATTTTAAAGAAAATCTTCTTTATTTACAGCTAATTTACTTTAAAAAACATGTGTTGACAGTGTTTGAACCCAGCATGGGGCCTAAGAGATTAAGGAAAGCGATTTCAATCCAATCCAAGCAGGAAATTATAAAAAAAAACATGAACAAGGCATTAGAACAAATGCGCTATGCAAAGAATATGGCATGTCGACATCAACTGTGTCGACAATTCTTGCACAGAAAGACAAATTTAAAAAAGTGAAAGTGAGAGACAAATCTACCAGAGTGTTTAAAAGTAGATCCCTAATTGCAAAAACTGAGAGGTTACTTATCATCTGGATTAGGGAAAAACAGATGAAAGGTGATTCAGTTTCTACTGAATTCATTTGTGAAAGCCAGGGAGATTTACAAACATTTAAAGACAGATCAACCTGGTTCTTCAGGCACAGAATTTGAAGATTTTCGTCCCAGCAAAGGCTGGTTCGAAAAATTTAAGAAAAGAAGTGACATTTTCTGTGTTGTTGGCATGGTGAAGGTGCTAGTGCTGATAACGAAGGGGCAGCAAAGTTTTTTGTGGAATTTAAAGAACTGATGGAAGAAGAAAATTATCTTCCACAGCAAGTGTTCAATGTGGACGAAACTGGGCTGTTCTGGAAAAAGATGCCCAAAAGAACATTCATCAGCAGAGATGAAGCCTCTTTACCTGGGCATAAACCCATGAAAAACCGTCTCACTCTATTGCTTGGTGCCAATGCTTCAGGGGATTTCCGACTGAAGCCTATGTTTGTCTACCACTCTGAAAACCCCAGGGTGTTCAAGCAACAGTAAGTGGTAAGAACAAAGCTTGGAGTTTATTGGAAGTCCAACCGTAAGGCATGGGTGATAAGACAGCTCTTTAATGAATGGGCTGTTGATGTGTTTTGCCCTTCTGTCAAGAGCTACCTAACCACCAATAAACTCCCTTTAAAGGCTCTTCTCCTCATGGATAATGCTCCTGGTCATGACCCTGAACCTGCCAGAAATTTGGAGTATCAATTTGACTTTGTGAAAGTATTGTTTTTACCTCCCAACACTACATCAATCATACAGCCAGTGGACCAGAATGTGATCAGCAACTTCAAGAAGTTGTACATGAAGAAAATGTTTAGGAGGTGTCATCAGGCAACTTCCAATGATCCTGAACTAACACTGAAAAAGTTCTGGAAGACACAATTCAACATCCTGGAGGCTGTAAAATTGATTGTGTCATCATGGCAAGAAGTCTCCACCAGATCCCTCAATTCTTCATGGAAAGCACTGTGGCCATCAGTAGTCCATGATTTTGAGGGATTTGAGGAAGAAACAGTTGGACCAGGAGATTGTGTCCATTGGTCAGTCATTGGGCCTTGAAGTGGAAGATGATGATGTCGAAGAGCTTGTGATGTCTCATGAGGAGGAACTTACTCCTGATGACTTGAAGCAACTGGATGAGATGTTAGAGGCTGACAGTGGTGAGGAGGAAATTGAAAATGATGACCATATGTCAACTAAAGAGTTGAAAGATGTGATTTACCACTGGGAGAAGTTCAGGGAACTGGCTTCAAAGCATCCAGATGTGGAAAAAACTGAACTAACTTTGTGTCATGTTGAGGACTCAATGGTCTCCTTCTTTAAACATAAGTTAATGGTGAGGAGGAGAGATGCCCCACAGACCACAATTGACACTTTCTTCAGTAAAAGGCAGAGGGAACAAGATGCTATCCCTCAGCCTTCCACTTCAAGAAGGAGAGAGGATTTTGCTAGCCCTCAGCCTTCCACTTCAAGGAGGAGAGAGGATGTTCATGGTGGAGAAAATGTCAGTGCAGAGATTCCTAGCATTTTCATGGTAGGTGACTCACCTTCTAAGAAGCAGTAAAATGCTTCTCTACCTCCACTTCCTTCTCTTCTCCCTTCTCCTCCTCCACCTCCCACTTCAAATTCACATCGGCATCATCATCCAGGAGCCTTCTACATACACACCTCAAGGTAAGTGTCAATTTCTAAAATTTTTGTTGAATTTAGGCAATTTTCGGTGAGCTGGAACCAATTACCCAAAAACCCATTGAAACAATGGTTTCGGTTAACGAGCAACCTGCTGGAACGGATTGTGCTCGTTAACCGAGGGACCACTGTGTGTGTGTGTATGTGTATATATATATATATATATATATATATATATATATATATATATATATATATATATATATATATATATATATATACACATATATCCCTTGGTTATAGCGCACTTGGTTATCGTGATTTTCGTTATCACGCCTCCATCAAAATCTGCACACCAGTTATAGGCATTTTTCAGGTCGAGAATTTGGTCATCACGCATTTGCCTCCAGGTGTAATTTTAACCCCTTGGTTCACCTACATCTATTGAGGATAAAATCTTTCACCTACAAATTGACAATAACACATTTGCTGTAATCAGACATATCTAGTTGCCTCAACAATTGCAACCCCAGTTGCAATTTCAAATTCTGTGGCATTACTAAAAATAGTAAAGTTTCTGGTGCACTCTAAGATTAAGAGAGAAAACGGAGGACTCGGGCGTCCTGATGTGAGAGAAAACGGACTCGTATGACGGGGGACCAAATAAAAAAAGCATAGCTACATGTTTTGTGGACTACAGTATTAAGCGTACCCTTTTCATCACTTTGTAATAAACCTAGCCATGCCTATGTGTGTTTATGATATTTACCATAACATTATATATATATTTAGTGGGTCTAAATGGTCGTAAAATGGGAAACTTGGGGTTGGGTCTTGGGTGCCTGGAACCAATTAGAATAAATCCCATAGGTTCTGTACTTTCGTTATCGCGTTTTTCGTTATCACGCACTTGGCGTTGTCCCAATTCGGCGCGAAAACCAAGGGATGATTGTACTGTACTGTATGTACTTGTGACACTGGCCAGTTGCTTCTGGTGTTTGGTACAGGGGTACCAAGTGACAGCACTAGGATCCCGCTTCCTCTATCAAGGAATAAACAATTAAAATTTAAATTGAAAAAAAAAACATTCAAATAATTGGACATAGCGAACCTAAATGACCCTAGAGCGGGCACAGTCACGTATGCATCGCGTATTCTTATAGATTGTGCTGCCAGGCGTACGTTATCTAGTGAATTTAGTCAATATTGTACAATAACAATGGACCTAAGTGCAAACCTGTATTGTACATGTACTAAATGGTTACGGTACTAAAATTGTTATGTCTATTGCAAATATAGCTTGTTTATACAGGTATTCAAATAAATTACTATCTTACAAGAATCCCTCCAATGTAAGTTATATTCACCCAGGTCGTTTGGGTGGCAAATTATGAGAAGAGCTTAGTCACTCTTAAGTAATGATAAATAAACATGCAGGCAGGCCTTCAGTGCCAACTGTCAAATCTTATCTCAAATAAATAAACAAAGAAACGCCAGACATTCTGTCACCTCACCTCCCGCCCCCTCTTCTCACCCTCCTTGTGTTCCCAGACAAAAGATTGGTGATTTCTTTATGTTTATTTTATATAATATCTCAGACTAAAGTTAGGATAATATAATTTGCATTGCTGAAATCCTTGCAAGACAGAGATTAATTTGAATATAAACGTCATATATTTTGCTCAAGAGATAAAAATTGTTGTACATTAGTGTACAATACTGTAGTACATTTTTAAAAAAAGTTTTTCAACTGTATTTTTGGGTAGATTTACAGTTTTACATAGATTTCTTCATTTATTTTCATCCATTTACATGCACACACCATACTAAAAGAAACGTAATAGAAATAAATGACCTTAGTGCAAAGCTGAAGTGCACATGTACTAATTTGATTACAATACTAAAATTGTTTTGTCTAGTGCAAATTATAGCATGTTTATATTCAAATTAATCAGGATGTTACAAGAATCCCAGCAATTTTAATTATATTCACCCAGGTCATTTCAATGGCTTTTTATAAGAGAGAAGCTTAGTCACTTAAGAACTGATAAATATACACGCGTTAGGCCTGTGCCAGCTGTCAAACGTACTACCTCCCCTCCCCCCACGCCCCCTCGCTCGCTCCCACCCTCTCTCTCTCCCCCATCTGCCCGGCGTTGCTGGAATCCTTGTAAAACAGTGAATAATTTTAATATAAACGTCATGTATTTTGCACAAGAGATAAAAATTAATCACCTGTATCACATTACAGTAGTGATTTAAGAGTAAAAGTGTATATGTACGTATATAGTATTCCACATACACGTAAGTATAAATACAAAGTTTATGTGATGATCGGACAACGTCCATTTCGGTTAACGTCACGTTTCCAAGAACGTACCTACGACGTTAACCGGCGCATGACTGTATACATAGAGCTAACCTACCACATGTCTAATACTCACCCAGACTCCCTCTCTGGGAGACATTCAAGAATGGCAAAAGCTCTAGGAAGTTGATTCTCTTTCTCACAAGCGTACACACAATCAATAGCAATGGTCATCATCTCCTCTGCAGATGGGATGATCTGTGCATGTTGATCGGGTCGAGAATGCTGAAATAATATTCCAATTGTCACAGAGATTCTAATATATTCATAATCTATAAAACAAGGCTCACACATACAGTCATAAAAAATATTTCTCATTACAGTATACAAAAGAAGCTGTAAAGAAAATCACAGAAAACTGGCATTTAACCCCTTTATTACGGAGACGCCATGTTTAATATTTTATTTAAATTACGCAAGGGTTAAGAGTTAATATAGTTTAAGTTAAGTTTTCAGTGACTTCATGCACATGTTGCTTTAATATTAAGAGTATTTATATGTATGCATCTACAACAGCCAGTGACCAATACATTTGTTTTCCTGATACTTTCTCCCATCACCCATCTATACCTTTAACAATACACATGTTGTACTTGTGTATGCCAGGTGTTGTGTTCATAGACAAGGCCACTACAATACTGTATAAGTGAAATCAATATAATACAACCAAAGTCCACCCTCTGAAAATCTTTGGAGAGTTTACTCATAATTTGTGGTCTAAGATGTAATATAAGTACTATTGTACTGTACTGTCATCAAACTACTGAATGTTTCCATATTAACACTAACTCTTGTGAGTACGATGTAGATTCAGTAAATGGGACAATTTATGAGGGCAAAATTTGGGCAAGGTATTTGTTATGTCTGAGCCATAACACATGCATACTATAAGTGAACGTTACATCAAATTCCCTTCACTTACTATGTATTTCAGCTTAAACAAGTCCATCTAACACTGTAATTTCCTCTAAAAATTTCATCAACCTCCCAGAACACCTTCAGGGAGAGTAAATCCCCCACTCTTTAAGTATTTACTCTAATATAAACTTATTTATGTTCCAAGTTGTAATATAAGTACTGTACAGTACAGTACTGTTATTAAACTATAAATGCACATTTACATGATCATTCTTTTGAATATATATCTTTCTATCTATCTTTATCAGTATAAGCTGGTACAGTACAGTACAATATGTCACCTACAAACATTTTCAAGAGAACAGGCACATATTCATTTATATGAGGTCAAGTTTCCTAATACTGCTTCTTATACAATGATATCTCTGTTGGTGCAGAGCACTTCCGGCAATGAGAGATTTCCGGGTAACGAGACAGCTCTCTCAAACCCGGAAAAAAATTCCTCTTCCCCGGAATTTTCCAGATACAGTGAGTTCTGCTATAACGCGTGTTTTGACAACGCGGATTAGCTCTAACGCGATTGATGAATAGAGGAACAATATTTGTAAAATGCGAACTCGTTTGCTCTAACGCGATTCCACTCGAACGGTTGTTATGGCTTGGTGCGGGGTTATGCAGTGTTTACAGTTCACATTCGACATCACATGTTCAATTGAGTTATGTGTTTTGTTTGTGAAGAATTGCAGAAATAATTTATGTACTATTTATGTACACAGTAAACTACTCACAAGGTCCTACCACTAATTATTTTATACTGAAACTTACTTTTGGGAAGCTGGATTAAAATGAAGATTACCGGTATATTAAAATAATAAAAATGTATTATAAACCTGTCTAACATACCGTAAAAGAACAATATACCCCGGTAATAAACACAGCTGCTATCATCACCCCCCCCTTGCCAGTGACGGGAAAGTGACCTTGACTGTGACCGCCTGTGGCTATTTTTAGCCGTCCTTGTGTTCGGAGGTGGTCAGTAATGCATATCTGTATATTTACTGATCATAATACTTATCTCCTATAAATAATTCATTTAAAATTTATTTTTTTATAAAGAATATTCAGTAAATGACTGCGTTAATTCTTGAAACTACCGACAGTGGTAAATTTAGGATATAGGTAAATGATGAACAGAAGTCACGTCATGGATTCGGAGTTTGGTTCTTAATGATCACCATAAATGTCTGGTCAACTTCACCTACCAGGTATAATGGTAGCCTCCATTTTTCACGAAACACGTATATAAATTAAAGAAAATACTTGCAGTGTGTTTAATATATTACAGTATATTATAAATAAATAAATAAACAAATAAATCGGCAAATCTATTTCAAGTAAAGGGAAATATTTTACTCACACCGACATTAGTTCCCGTTAAACAACTGACGCTTAAGTGAGTCACTAGTGTACACCAGCCGGTAAAATTTGATGCCAATACTTTAAGTGAATTGGCCTTATTTTAAATAACCAACCATAAATAAATGCAAAAAGGAAAAAAGATCAAAGGTGAGAAAAATTATATTGTATGTATGTTGTGTTGTCAAAGGAAGAGAAACAACTGAAACTCTGCAAGTGTGTGTAAATGAGGCAGAAAGATAGATCAGCAACCTAATACAGTTGTACCCCACTTAACGCGGTCAATAGAACCCAGAGGGTCCCGTGTTAAGTGAAATCCGCGTTAAGTGAACAACAGAACATATGGGATTAATTCCAATAGAAACCGGCCCGACCCCCAAACTCCACTTTTTGAAGACACATAACTATGTTGTAGTAAAAATAACATCTTAATTTTATGATGGTACATGCACACAATTAATACTTAAGAGAAATAGAGAAATACAGTCGCCAAGTTAATGTCCATTCAAATAATGGACTCAACTCCCTCCCCCTCTCACACTACACTGCCGGCTCTTTCCTCTCTGAGAAATTTTTGGGGGAAAACCACTAAATTTTAATAAATAATACCTCAAACTAAAGTTAGGATAATACAATTGACATTGCTGGATTCCTTGTAAGACCAGGAATATTTTGAATATAAATGTCATATATTTTGCACAAAAGATAACATATTTACTCAGAGAAAACATTATATCTAAAATTTGTATGTCTAATGCAAAATATATGATGTTTATATTCAAATGATCACCAAATTATAAGAATTCCAGCAATGTAAATTATATTCTGGCCGGGTAATTTGTATGAATTTTATGAGCTAAAACAAATATCTTCAGTTAATAAAAAAAAAAATATTCTTCACGACACTATCTGTCAATCAAAGTACCCCACCTTGCCTCCCCCCTCTTCCAACCGCGCGGTCAGTCCCAACCCTCCCCCCCACCCCCCACCAATCCTCCCTTCAAGAGAAGAGTGGGTGAAAAAAATAAATTTTAACATTTTGTATTAAATAATACCTCAGATTAAAGTTAGGATAATATAATTGACATTGCTGGATTCCTTGTAAGACCAGGAATATTTTGAATATAAATGTCATATATTTTGCACAAAAGATAACATACTTACTCAGATTAAACATTTTATCTAAAATTTGTATGTCTAATGCAAAATATATGATGTTTATATTCAAAATGATCATCAAATTATAAGAATTCCAGCAATGTAAATTATATTCTGACCGGGTAATTTGTATGAATTTTATGAGCTAAAACAAATATCTTCAGTTAATAAAAAAAAATATATATTCTTCACAGGGTAACAGATGGTCGGTCGGTCCCTCCCTCCCCCCCACCCCCACCAACCGTCCCAAGGAGATGTGTGGGAAAACCAGAATACTTAACTTTTTTGTAATAAATAATACCTCAAACTAAAGTTAGGATAATATAATTGACATTGCTGGATTCCTTGTAAGACCAGGAATATTTTGAATATAAATGTCATATATTTTGCACAAAAGATAACATAGTTACTCAGAGAAAAAATTTTATCTAAAATTTGTATGTCTAATGCAAAATATATGATGTTTATATTCAAAATGATCACCAAATTATAAGAATTCCAGCAATGTAAATTATATTCTGGCCAGGTAATTTGTATGAATTTTATGAGCTAAAACAGGCAGTCAGGCAGGGTGGCGGGTGGGGCAAGTCTAAAAATAGCGTCTCGAGCCGGACACTCACCGCGTATATGTGGAAAAAATCTGTGCTAAGTGAAAGTTCAGCTCTGGCGAGGCACCGCGTATATGATAAAACGCGTTAAGTGAAACCGCGTTAGGCGGGGTAATACTGTACTTGGTCACAATTTTCGTGATGCCATATGGAAGTAGGATCTACCATTAGACAATACTGTACATTATGCTTCCAATATCTTCCCAGGCGGTAGTATCTCCCTGTTTGGTAGCTGCCTAAAAATTTTAGTAATATTACTTTGATACAACATGATAAATTAGACAAACAATGAAAATAAACAAACAAAAGTTATTTACCACGACCTTCTCTCTGAGAACAGAGGGTAATAGATGGAGAGCAGATATGTAGGTTATTTATAGCCCGTCTTTGTGTAGGAAGTCGACCGCACTATAAATAATTCTTTTAAAATTTATATTTTTTACATAGAATATTCAGTACATGACTGTGATTATAAAATAGGCCGAGATATACGGTATGTAATATTTATGAGTGTGTGATGTAAACAGAGCGCTTGGCCTCTCTCTCTCTCTGTGTACTGTATGGGTGGAATTCGTGGTTTACAGTGAGTGATACGAATGTCGTAACATTACTAGGCTGAAGGCGCCTGAATACTACTTAAACACATCAAAACTATGTTAATTGATCACTGTATAATAAATTCATTCACTCATAATTTAAAATTCCCTTATCATCCTGTGTTATATACAGAAATACTTGAGTCCCTGAGCAAGTACACAAAAAGAAAACGGAGGACTAAGACATCCTGAAGTGGATAGAGAACGGACATCTCTACTGGGGGACTCAAACGTTTCTTATGTTTTGTGGGCGCTGTAGCATAATATGAATAATATGTAAATTACAATTTACTTATATATATATATGTAAATTGTAAAAATTTAAATAAAAGAAAAACTAAATACGTAGCGTTTAAAGTGTACTGTACAGTGTTGTGGCTTGGCGCGGGATTATGCAGTGTTTACAGTTCACGTTCGACATCACATGTTCAATTGATTTATGTGTTTTGTTTGTGAACAATTGCAGAAATAATTTATGTAATATTTATGTATACAGTATACCTGTACAGTATATGTAAATTGTAAAATTTTAAATAAGAGAGAAAAACAAAATACATAGCGTTTTAGACCCGCTCGCTCTGTTTACTCCACACTTTCAGTTTGAAACACGTGTGAAGTTTTTAAGCGTCCTCAGTGAATTCTGATTACTGTTCTCCAATTTTGTGACTATGGAAAAGAAGAATATCTCCGGGAAGCATTCTGGTGATCGCATTTCCGGTGGTGATCGAAAAATAAAGGCTATAATACTTGAAGAAAAGCTTGATGTTTCATGACTCATCAACCTCAACATCAACCTTCTCCCCCATCAAGTTATATTCATATTTTCTCAAGGTAAAGTGTAACATTTACTGTATGATTTCATTATTAGATATGAATGTAACATTTATTTAGACTGTGCTATCCTTTGTGTTAGGCTAACTACGAAATTTTTTTTCCATTTGGAGTAATCTGCACCTAACCCTATTTTCTCCATAAGCCCTGTTATTTCTATTACACGAATTTTTATAACACAATGTTTTACAAAAACACAACTATCGCGTTATAGCAGAACTGACTGTAGCAGAAAAATTTTCTCAGAAGTTCCAAAAATTGCCCATTAACATCATCTCTCGAACCCGGAAAAATATTCTCCCATCCCTGGAATTTTCCTGGTAACGGAAAAATGTTCTCAGAAGTTCCAGAAATTACCCATTACTGTACATCATCTCTTGAACTCGGAAAAATGTCCCCCATCTCCGGAATTCTTTGGGTACCAGAAAAATATTCTCGGAATTTCCAGAAAATGCACTTAATCTTCTCTCAAAGCTCCCCCACCCCCAGAATTTTCCTGGTATCAGAAAAATTTGCCTCACAAAATCGCAAAATTTCAATTCCTGCTATCAAAGAGTTCCAGGTTTGAGGGATTCCAGCTAACAGAGATATTACTGTACTAAAATAAAAAAATAAACTTTATGAAAAATCACAAACCATTAAGTTCTCAACAGCTTTCTTGAGTTATCTTTGACTGAGTCCCATTACTGTTTACCATTGTGTGTATACTATAAGAATAAACTGTCTATGTATACTCATATACTGAACCTATGTGAACTTGGATGACAATTTTAATAACTCACTTGTAATATTTTCAGCGGCAGACCAAGATCTTGTTTGGCTGTGGTCACTACATATGTCCGCAGGAGTATCTGAGCACTGCCAGGACACCACTTCTCACACCGGGCCAGGAAGGGCAGAAGCCACCGACGAATGTTTTGGATGTAGGTTTCTGGAGTGCTCTGGTGATCAAACCACAATATGTTAAAGGTACCCTTGTATATTGAAAGATTTGTTTACAAAAACAAATCTAAAAATTTATACAGTATAAGGCAAAGAGAAAGCAAAGATTTCCATTCTTATTTCCTATTTAGCATTTTTTTTTTCCAATAACTAGAGCTGGGTAATATTTACATCATTTTCCATCACCCCTTTACCACAGTCTTCTATCAAAGGCTTAACACTAATGTTTGAACTTCATAAAAGCTTCATATCATTTTACTACTACCACAGTAAACCTGCAAACAAGCTGGGGCTGATGAGTCCATACGCCTAACCCTTGCTATATACGAGGGTTACATTCCGCGAAAACCTCACATGAATTGAAATTGCATAAAGTGAATGCTCAAGACTCTTGGGGTTTTCATACGCAAAATTGCATGATATAAATTATTCCTTTGGGGTTTTTATACACAAATTTGCATATAAAATAAAAAATTAAAATAAAATAACTTTATTGTTGTGTTTGATGCTAGATAAGCAGGGCGCACATTTGCCAATGTCGGCGCGATCTGGCAACTATGGAGACTGCCCTCCAAGGTTCGGTTACCACACCAGTCTCCCTTTTGTGCTTCAATGATGCAGGACATAACCTTGACCTACATTTCCCTTGCAGTGATTTCAGTTATTCATAACAGTGTTGTGATAGTTTTGAACCATGCTTTATGTTGCTGGTAAGGGTGGAGGGGTGGAAGAACGTAAAAAGTGCAAGGAGATTGCACCACATGGTGATAATGTGGCGCTTACGTATAGAAATAATTATTCTACCTTGATTACTCATATAAAACTATTTGTAGATAATTTACTTACAATACTAATGCAACAAACTCCACCTTTTTATCTTAAATAGCAAGCCTGCTATGACTCATGTACAATGATCTCGCATGTGATGCAATCAATCCTATTTACAGTATATATGACAATATAGTCTTTACAGAGCCAAGAGTGAGAGGTGAACTTACTGTTGACATGAGCTGAACAATTTTGTCATCATCAGAGAGCTTGGAGTATTTATCAAGGGTCATAAAAGTGAGGCCAACCTCATACACCAGGACTTCTAAGGAATCCAGTGTGTCATGAAGCTCTTCAAGATCCTGAAACAATGAATCAATGGTAAATACTGTATTGTACTATAATATAATATTAATAATCAGTATCTAAAGAACGGTCAAAACCTGTCCCATCAACCTCTGAAGCATCTCTCAAGCAACTCCTAGCAACTCCAGAACCAGTTCCCTCTACCTAAGCAGATTCTCCAGAACCAATCCTATTAACAACTACACCATAATCACCATCTTCAGTTTCATCTCAATAAAGCCTCTGTCACTTCTACAAATGCCCATATCTACATGCAAGACAGTCCCAGGTTTCAAAGTAAGGGTTAAACTTTAATATTTACTTTCATTTACTGTATTTTGTTATTCCATTTTTTTCTTTTCTCTTAAATTAAGTGATTCAGGATGTATAAAATGACTTAGGCTATGATATAGTGCGCATAGGGTATGTGTTCCAACTTACGTACATTTCTGGCTTAAGAACGTCCTCAGGAACGGAACTTGTTCATAGTCCAGGGACCCACTGTACCTTGCAGTTGTTTTGACAGGCTTTATCTAATACATTTTTAACAAGATTTTGATCTATTTTATAAATAGATCCTACATTAAATACTGAAAAAATACAGTATGGGTTAAGTATCTAAATACCAAAGTACTGTATACTCTTCGATCTGAAAATTACATCTCGCATGAAGATTAGAAACCCATACTTGTTTTACCAGATGATTATACACTGTAATCCTAACCTAACCAAACATAGCATATGCATTCATTTCTTCACTTAGTGTCACTGTACATTACTTTGTCCCATTTGTCTTAAGATTTATATAAAGGTTGTAACATCAGAGTTAAGAACCTGACATGAGAGAGTGTAATAGACTTTGCAGCGGGAATAGCTAACCCATGCAAACATGTAAAATGGCCGCAAAACATTGAAGATGATGAGAAGGGCAAAAGCAAGTTGCTCAATTCTCTGCCTATTCTGGATAGAACTTTTTTTTTAGTTAGTAAATCCATGACACTCACTCAGCCAACTACTGTACTGCTAAAGGTACATAATACACTAAAAAATGTGTTCTGGGTCAAGAGAGCTGACCTTTAACCCTAAACTCAGGAGGCTTCTGTGTATCTCCAAAGGCAAATTACCTAGCAATGTTTTAGTAAAGACATGATGTGTAGAAATTCAAATGTGTTCAAATGTTTGGGAAAGTTCCAAAGTGCCATACAAGTACCCAGTATGCACTCCTCAGAGAAGACACACTAAAATTAAGTAAATATACAGATAAATAACCAGATAAATAGAATATCCTACATAGCAAGTCTACTACAGTATTTCTTAAGCTGTCTCCATTATTTATGAACTCTTACCTAATAGTACTTACTGCATAACCCAAAAATGGCATTACATGTACTTCATAAAACTGAGGAAAACCTTACTTTCTAAAACTAAGGACTTGTATGATGATTTTACTGTATAAATATCTATCATTATCTTTCACAAGAAAGGGTTAACATATAGGTAGGGTAGGAGTCAACCACATCTCCATTGATTACCTCCATGGGTAAACCTTTCAATAACCATAATAAAATAGGCAGAAATGTCTTACCATCACACCTCTCTCACGCCCAAGTTTCAGAAGGTCCAGTGATGCATCGACAAAGTGGCTACACCTCTCTATCTCCCGTGCTCGCTCCTGATACCACTCACTAACACTCTCCGCAGTCAGACTCACTCCTTCAAACTTCTCCATATCAGGTCGCTCTGCATATAGGAAATCAGCTGGGTCATCTTCTCCTTCATTAACTGCTTCCCTGTTAATATGATAATGGTAAAAATAAATAACCCATATTTTGTTGAGACAATGACTACAATGATGGTGCAGTGGCAACTCACTTTTATGTCCTGGGTTCAATCCTCATCTTGGGACAGATGTGAGAAGGGTGTTATCCAGAGTGACCCTACCAAACACAACAGGTTTTCTCCAG